TTCACATAGTGAAATAGTATACAGTTGTTAAAATGATCTAGGAAGACAAGTATCACATGGATCAAATTTTGAAAACACATGTTTGAATAAAAAAAAAATCCAGTGTGATTACATTTATGTAATGTTTAAATGGGCATAAACAATATTTTTGTTAATGTATGGCTTATGTAGATTAATTAAAACATGGTGAGAAGGATCCATACCAAATTCAGGATGGTGGTTATTTTGGGGAAAGAGTGAACAGAATGTATCAGGAAAGAGTATGTAGACTATTTCAAATATATCTGTCATGTTTTAAAATTTTTCTATATTAAAAAGTGTAGCATATTTATTGGAATGTCAAAAGGGGCTCAGGAATCAAGAAGCATCCTGTTAGAGTAGATAGCAAAGATGGATCCTCATAGATCCATTGGAGATTGATCCTCATAGAAGGTGATAAAAAATTGATTCACAGGCTTTTAGGAAAAAACCTTCAGAGTACTGTAATTAGAAACCAGCTCTTCTCTTGTCCAGAGCTTCAGGATGTTAAGAAGTAGTTTCAGAGTTGTTTTTTCCCTGGCTTTGGCCAATGGGGGAGGTGTGGTCTTTGCCATTTTGGGCTGTCCCCTACTATCTGAGAATTTGCTGTTTTCCCTGGGACATCTTTTTTAAAAACTCTTGGGTCAGATTGCCCTTGGTGGTCAGGTGAAGAGTCCGTGGTCCGAGGACTGGGTAGCAGCACACTGGCACGGGATTCTCCACCGGGGCGTATTGACACTTTGGACTGGACAATTCTTTGTGTAGGGGTCGCCCTGTGCATTGTAGGGTGTTTAGCAGCATCCCTGGCCTCTACTTATTAGATGCCAGTAGCACTCTCTCAGTTGTGACAACCAAAGTGATTCCAGACATTGCGCAGATGTCTTCCAGGACACTAAATTGTCCCTGCTTGGGAACCACTGCCTTAGAGGATAATGTTCACATGGGACTGACAGCCCCTTCCAGATGGTGCAGCTGTGGAGGAGGCCGGGGCGGCAGCCCAGATGGAGGCCCCCAGCTTGTAGCCAGAGGAGGGTGGAGAGGTGAGGAAAGGAGAAACGCAGCAGGCAGATAAATGGAGACAGTAAGTTAGGGGTGGAGGGCTTGGGGGTGACAGTGGAGAAGGGAGGGTGGGTACAGACCTCCAAGGTGAGGCTGTGAAGGACAGTGTGAGGCTCCGCCCATAGGTAACCCCGAGTAGTGTGTTAGTACAGAGCCCCTCCCCTCCCCCCGGCTGACAGTGAGCACTTCAGTAGCTATAGATCCTCCTAAGTGTCTTAATGCTCTCCTCCTGACCTTGTAGAGAGTTTCGTGGATCTATCAAGTGGTTAAGTTCCTTGGAGAGAGACTGCAATTCTTTGTTCTTTGTTCATTCAACAGACATTTTTCAAGTACCCACTTGGGCAGGGGCTGTGCCAAGCACTAGGGACCCCACTAATCACCTGGGGGACACTGACTCAGCCAGCACAGTTAGCCCAGGAGGAGAAAGACAGGCTCTGCTGTCAGGCTGCCCAGGTCCATACCCAACTCAGTTCCTGGCAGCTGTGTCCTTGGGCCTTAGTGTCCTCGTGTGTAACATGGAGTAGAATTCTTGTCCCACACAAGTGTTGAGAGGATTAAGCTAGAGAATGTATACAGCCTATAGAGCAGTGCCTGGCATTAGCAGCACTCAGTGATATTAAGATTATTATTTTTAATGTTGTATTAACATTACTGCATAAGGGCTGTAATAGACTTAAAGAATGTCAAGAAAATCCTGAGGGACAAGTGATCAAAGGCTCTCAGATGTAGCTTTTCTGAGACGGATCTTAAAGGATCAGTGGGACTTTATCAGGAAAAAACAGTTGTGCGGTTGTGGGAAGATCGTGCACTAAGATTCAGGCAGGACAGAGAGCAGGCGGGAAGTCAAGTTGTGAGTGAATGAGCATGGCTCACTGGGGGACAACGGCAGGGTGCAGGCGGGTGGGCGCTGAGCCTGGGAAGGAAGCAGGGGCTTGCGCGTGGACATAGGTCCTAAACCCTGTTGGCCTGGACCTGCTTTGTTGATTATTTCTTTTCTCCAAAATAGATTTAGAAGAACATGCTATTTTAATCCCTGGGCAGTGAAATGCTAAGTATGCTCCTTTACCTGTCAGGGTTATTGAGATTTTAGGGGCTGAAAAAGCAAACTTGTCTTGCTGTCCCTCTGCTGTCAGGTAGGGGACACTGGCAGCTACTTTACATCAGGAGTCTAGCAGATGGAGCACAGGACATCTGTCCGTGTACCACTGAGGCGTCCCAATTCTGACTGTCAGAAGTGTTGCTGCTCATGGAGGAGCAACTCGAGCGACTGTTGAGTTTGCACCTGTCTCTCTTCTGCCAGTCACATGCTGCTTCAGGGCAGGGGCTGGAAACCCTCCTGGAAGACGTGGCTAAACCAGGGCATGCATGCCAGAGGAGCCAGAGGCGTGTTGCCTGAGGCTTTGCTGAATCAGCCGTTGCCTTCTGGCATCCCCCTTGCTGCCAAGACCTCAGTCCCAAGGTCATGAATGTGCCCTGGAAGGCTCTGCCCTTTACTTCGCCATTCTGCAACTTCACACGGTGAACACCGTGTACTTACGGAGCACTCGCCAGGCCCAGGGGGTGCGGTTGTGAATGAGGCAGACCCATCTTTGGCTTTGTGGGACATACAATATGGCAGATAGACACTGAGCAAACCTTTGCAAGTGGTATCGATAAGGGCTGAGGAAGGGGAACGTTCTGGCATGTAGGAGGGAGAGAAGAGCCTAATCTTCAGGGGGTGATGAGGTCAGAAAAGGCCTCACGGAGGAAAACAGACTCTCTCTGGTGTCTGAGAATGCTTGTGAGGGGGGCAGGCGGGACCACTGGGGAGACCTCCCTAACCACACTGGCTCATAACTGAACCCTGCGGGTTTCCTCAGGCTCTGTTCCCCTCAGCATGCCTGGTGCCTTTTCTCTTTTTAAAATCTTCACCCAAGGATATTCTTCCATTTGTCTTCAGATAGAGTGTTAGAGAGAGAGACATTGATGTGAAAGAGACACAGATTGGTTACCTTCCACACACCCCAACCAGGGCCAGGGACCAAACCACAACCGAGGTACACGCCCTTGACCAGAATCGAACTCGCGACTCTTTGGACCACGGGCTGATGCTCCAACCCCTGAGCCAAACCGACCAGGGCTTCCTCTTTTTCTTAAATGTCTTCCCTCCTGCCTGAGTCCTACACTTTCTCCTTCCTTTCAGACACTTGTCTCCTTTGCGGGCTTATCTTGGTCCCCACACATAATCCCAGCCTTGGAGGGCTGGCCTTGCTCTCCAAGCCAGTGGGCAGTGCTAGTAAAAAGCCTGGCTTGGAGGAGGCCGCCCCGGCTGGGTCCCCAGCAGACATCAACCTGTCTTCACAGGCTGTACTCCCCAGTGGTCACGGAACTTTATACAAGCAAGCGACTGACCACTCTGCACCGGTGACCAGTCTGTGAAAGAGGTTCCTTTAACCGGGGCAGCCTGGGGACAGAGGCAATGCCTGTGTGAGGCAAGGTCACAAACCCTTTCCCTGTCAGCATCTCAGAAACCAACTCCGTTCAGTTAACTTTGTTTTCCCCTGGCAACCTGATGAATATAGGAGGTCAGGACACAGTGCTGGACACAGAGCTGTGGGAAAACCGACCACCATGCGGTAAATCGCATCCGGACTATGAGTTTTCTGTACGACCTCTAACTACTGATGACGGAGCAGGGCTTTGGGCTTCCCAAGCGCGGGGACCCTAGGAGCTCTGTCTGTAGGTTCACAGGAGATGTTGGCTCCTATGGGGTGGGGAGCCAGCACACCTCCTGTACCCGCTCAGTTTGCACCTGAATTGACACCTGGGGTTAACCTTATCTGTCAGGTTAAAGGAGTAGACTCTTCTAGCTCCAATATTCTGTCAGTTCATACATTTAAAAATAATCCATTGAGAGCCTACTATGTGGTAGGTGCTGGAAATACATTGACCAAAACATGCATTCTGTGCCCTGAAGGCATTTACAGTCCAATGGGGAGATCCTGTCAATCAAAGTATCACCCAAACAGTAGTCAAAGAGCACCCTGATAATGTGCACACTGGGCTGTGAGAGTGCAGTGGGGAGACTGACCTAGCTGGGAGGTCAGGAAGGCTTCCGTGGACGAGTCATGATGGAGCTGGGATCCGATGAACAGCCGTTGTGAACCAGACACAGAACGGGGAGGGAAGATTCACAAAGGAGACAATAGCACCTGCAGAGGCTTGGTGGGGGGATGTGCAAGGTGGAGAGAATGAGGTCAGGCAGAGCGCTGCCAGGCAGGTCCATAGAGGCAGGGCTGAGAGTCAGATTCTTTAAGGACCTGGTACAGCCCTGGACGAGGGGCAGGAGAGCTGCTGCCCGAACAGTCGTGCTGGTGTTAGTTTTGCATCTTCATCGTAAGAGCAGCGAGAAGCAGTTTCGTGCAGTGTGGGGATGTGTGTGGCAGGAATGGGGCTTGGCTTGAATGGATTTACAAGTGAAAAGCTGATTTTGGCTGCAGGATGCTGAAATCAAGTATGAGAGGAGTGAAATGTGAAGGGATTTCAGTGAACAGGTTTCATTGGTGAAGGAAGCCCACCCTGTGGATGGGCTTTTATGAAGCATCACAGGGGATTAGCAGAAGGGGAGGAAAGTTTGACCTTTAATTCCTGGGGTCTTCGCTGTTCAGGTTGGCTTCATACACCCTCCCCCCCATTTTTGGCTTCCATGACCCCAAATCCCCTTTCTGTGTTTCCAAACTTACAGGTTGTGGAGCTGTAGCGGGGTTCCCAAGCACACCCCAGCCGGGAGCAGAGGACCTCCAGGGCATTAGGAAACACTAAGTCAGGCACACAGCAGCGCTTTCTGTGGCTTAGAGAACTGTTCCTGGCACGGAAGACAGACATTTTGCATCCAGTAGGGTGAATGAAAGTCACATTTCTCTTTTTCTCTCTCTTCCCTCCAGGCTTATATTTGGCACCCTTTACCCTGCGTATTATTCCTACAAGGCTGTGAAATCAAAGGACATTAAAGAATATGTAAGTAGCACCTTTTGGGTGGGGGAGCTGGGGGTGAACTGTGGAAGAAGGGAGGCACGGCAGCAGGGCAGAGGAGTCCCCTCATCCGTCTTCTTCCCACAAGACTTACGTGGTGTGACCAGGAACCCTCTCTCGGCTTCCTAGACTTCCTCTTTAACCTTTGTTCTTCATTAGAAGTACTTTATTATTATTATTATTATTATTTTATCCTCACCAGCGGACATTTTTCCATTTTTTGTTCAGGTAGAGTGGGAGGGAGAGAGAGAGAGGGAAACATCGATGTGAAAAGAACACATCGAGTGGCTGCCACCCGCACAACCGACCAGGGCCGGGGACAAACTGCAACCGAGGTACGCGCCCTTAGCAGGAACCAAACCCGGGTCTCTCAGGACCGCAGGCCGACGCTCTAACCGCTGAGCCAAACCGGCCAGGGCTTGTTTGTTGTTTTTTTTATACAATTTTTTTAGAGAGAGAGGAAGGGAGAGGGAGAGAGATAGAAACTTCAATGTGAGATAGAAACATTGATCGCCGCCTCCTGCATGTCCCCCTCCTGCATGGGCACATGCCCTTGACCGGGACTCCAACTGGCGACCTCTTGGTACATGGGATGATGCTCAACCACTGAGCCACACTGGCCGGGCTAGACTTCCTCTTTAGAGCTAGAGTGTAGAAATGAGGAAAGCAGGAAAATACGGCGAGAGGAATAGGAGGTCCCCATTATGGCCTTGGATGAGTGACTTCCCCTTTCTTAACCTCAGTTTCTTTGCCTGGAAAACACTGTGTAGACCATAAAGTAGTGTTATTGGGAGGCAGTCTGGCGCCGGGGGCAGAGGCATGGGCCCTGCAGTCCAGCAGACCTGGTTCGGTTCCGGGGTCTGTGACTCGGGCTCTGTCCCCATTCCAGTTCTGTGAGTCAGATACCCCATGATTTAAGCCCTGTTGCTTTATGAGCTTTTAGAGGACAGGAGTTGTTCATTATTTCATGACTGTTTCTCCACAGCACCTACCAGAGGGCTGAGCACGTGGGAAAGGGCTCCTTAGTACTTACTGGTTTGAGGATGTATTACTGTTGGATGGTTTGGGAGCCACAGCCACGGCCCTGGATGGGCTGGGCACCTCTAGACAGGAGAACCATCAGAGCACCCCTGATTCACAAAGACCTACAGGGGCGGTTGTGAGGAAAGGAGAGCTACCCAGGTCAGAGTACAAAGGACGTAGGTTTTTGTCATCAAGAGCTTGAAGTCAAGTCCTGGTGCTGACATTTGATTGACGCAATGCTGGGCAAGAAGCCAACTTCAAGAGCCTCCTTTTCATCACCTGAGCTGCGGGGTGAATAGTGCTGTGAGGGACAGAGGGTCTTTGCTCTCCCTCTTTTACTCAGAAGGTGTCACTTGGCAAGTTTGGCACAGGTAAAGAAATCATTCACAGTGGGTTGGGAAAATCATTGTTTTCTTTCTCAGATTTCTCAGGAGGTCATTATGATGAAATCAGCCACTTCCAAGTCAGCTGCAACCAGAACTCACCTCCCCGCACCCACCCTTGGTGTGCTAGAACTGCTTGCCCTGCCTGCATTTGCTATTAAGCAGGGGGTCCAGACAGGGGTGCGTTCTCCCAGGAGACTGGGAACTTCAGAATGTGAGCTATAAATAGCTGTTAAGTTATAAGCACAGAACCTCATGACTCTCAGTTGACTTGGGACAGGGGTTAAGCATTAGGCAGCCTCTTTTAGGTCTCCCTTCCAGCCTAGGGGGCAGGGAAGCCGTGCCAGGTAAGTCGGCAAAACGGGGTCACCATGGTTCAAGGTTGATCTGCCGTGCAGGGGCAGAAACTCAACTGTCAGCTCTTCTGGGAGAGAGCGAACCCTGGTAAATTGTTTTGCTCTGACTAATCTCACAGGAGCCTGGTTTATAACCAGAACGGCAATTCATAAATTTAGAGTGAAAAATAAAACTGACAAGCAGGGCAGCTGGCTGTGTTGGCTGGCGAACACATGCGTAGTTTCCCAGCAGGGAAAGCGTGAGAGTAAAGATTAGAAGGTTTCTTGGTAAAAATGGAATCGGAGGAAAGGAGCTGAAGAGCGTTCGGGGTGTCGGGCATGCTGACACTTGCGCACTCTTTTCCCTCCATTTGTCCAAGAGAGAAACCTGGGAATTTCCTTGTTCTCCGGCCTCTGCCTCACCACCCAGCCGGCTGCACACACCTGCTTGGTGACTACTTTCCTTCATCTCTAGCCCCTAATAGTCTTTCAGACCAGGTCCCTCCTTTTCTGCTGCCGCTCCCTTAAATGAGGTTCTCATTTCTTCCCTGGAATGCTGCAATAGCCTCCTGTATAAGTTTTTTTATTGCTACTGTAACAAATTACCATGAATGTAATGGCTTAGAACAGCGCAGGGCTCTAGGGGAGAATCCACTTCCTTGCCTTTTTCACTTCCTGGAGGCCGGTTACCTGCATTCTTGGCGGGAGGCTTTCTCCATCTTCAGGGTCAAAAGTGCTTCATCCCTGACCATTCTTCCATAGTCGCATCTCCCTCTGACGCCGCCAGGAAAGAATCTCCACCTTTAACTACTTGTGGGATACATTGGGCCCACCTGAATAATCCAGGACGCTCTTCCCATCCGAAAGGACGTAATTCAATGGTTCTGCAGAAGCCCATGTACCATGTAAGGTAACATATGCATAGGTTCTGGAGACCAGTGTAAGGACATTTGGGGGCGGGCAGGGGCTAGTATATTGCCTACCACGCTTCCTAACATTCTCCTGCCTCCTGTCCCTCATCTCACACTCTGTTGTCTATATACTTTCTAGAAGCCTTTTAAAAGTGGAAATATTCATTTCACTCCTCGGGATCCTTGAATCGTGATTGCTTCTCGCCTGCAAGATTGAGTCCAGACTCCATTAGACAGTGTTGAACACCCTTTTATCTTGCTCCTTCCTGCTTTCCAGCCTCTTCTCCGTAAGCAGTGAGTGCTCTCAGTCGCAGTACTCAGTGTGGTCTGTGGACTAGAATTGTCAACGTCACCTGGGAGCTTGCTAGAAATGAAGACCCTCAAGCCCTACCCAGACCTCCTGAATAAAAATCGGACTTTTTGAAAGATCCTCAATTTGAAAAACACTACTCTCAACATTCATAGCTTCTTACATCTTTTCAAACTTAACTGCACTTAAACAGAAAGGGATTTATGGGAATTTGTAGAACTAACTAGAAGGCAGGGGAAAGAGACTCAGAAATTGGGGAGGATCTGAGAAGGATGGGTGACAGGCAAGCTTATGCCACAGGAAGGGTCTGGTTAGGAAGCTGCTGCCAATACCATCACCATGGATGCTGGCTGCCAGCGGTGTTTTTGGAACATTCCCTGAAGATTCAAAATTCTGGATAGGGGCATTTGATTTTTCCAAGCCCAGAAAACAGGCCTTGCCACCCACAAAGACCCTCATGTTGGGAGACAAGCTCCAAATTGAAAGGCTTTGAATACTGGAGCTATATATAGTCTACATCACTATGTTAAAATCACCGTAATAAAATTAAAATAGAGTATGTAATATGACGATTATATTCATCTATCTATCTCCATTACAGTTACCTATTTAGCTGCCAACATCAAATGTACTCCTTTACCCTAGTTTTGGCTCTTATTTTTATATATATTTTTCTTTAGTGATTTTAGAGAAGGAGAGAGGAAGGGAGAAGGAGAGATAGAAATATCAATGAGAGAGAACATCAATTGGCTGCCTCCTGCATGCCTCTCAGGGGATCGGGCCCACAACCTGGGCATGTGCCCTGACCGCGAATTGAACCAGTGATCTTTTGGTGCATGAGTTGATGCTCAACCACTGAGCCACACTGGCCAGGTCAGGTTTTGGCTTTTAAAAGAACCTTCCAACAAGAACTCTGTACAACTCGTTTACTTGCCAAATCCGTTTCTTCAGCTGAGTCCAGCTCCAGGCCAGTATCTGTCTTCCTCTGGCTCTGACAGGATCTAACTTTAATATTCAGCCCTCTAAAAATTAAATTGTAGAGGAGAATGAAAATGGTGGTGGAGTAAATGGAAGCTACACAGACTGTCTCCCAGGACCAAACTGGAATTACAACTAAAATAAAGACAAGTCATCTGGAAAAACCAACTGAAGAACAGCTGGAAAGAACCCTTATAACCAGGGACATAAAGAGAACCCCAAATCGAGACTGGTAGGAGCTGCAGAGGCGTGAGAGGACTGGCTAGGTGCCCACAGGCAGCAGCAGAGAGCTGTCTTAGCTGTGAGCAGTTCCCTCTGAGAAGTCGGGTTACCACAAGCCAGCTCCCCAGCACAGAGTGGCGGAATATGGAAAGGTGTCCACGTAACACCTGGCTGAGAAAATCACCAGTGCAGAGGTTTTGTCCTGCAGGGAGAAGCGCAGGGAACATTGGCCTTAAGGCTCAGCGCACTAAATCACAGCTACAGCCACTCACCTGGGGCTCCAGCAGAGGGAGAGCAGACTGGACTGAAACTGTGTGAGGAGGGTTGGGGTTCGTGGCACTGGAGAGAGAGCTTGGAAAGAGGCCATCAGGAGCTCTGTGCTGAGTCACTCCCCCACAAGACAGTAGCCATCCCCCTGAAAAAAGCTCCCTGCCAGAGTGGCTTTAGCCCAGGGGAGAAGCAACTGACCCCCTTTGGGAATTTAACACCTGAGACTCATTAACAGCCAGAGACTACCTGCCAGCCAGTAGGCAGCAAAGAGCCTCTGAAAGCTTTGAGCTTTGAGCTTTGCACCTGACTCTCAGTGTTGGGGGTCCTGGCTCTGGGGACTGAGCTGTGAAGGCTGAGGCCTGAGTTCCTATGCTGAGCCACTCCCCATCCTTCAGTAGGCATCTCGTTCAAGTAGCCACATCAGAGCAGCTTTAGCCTGGGGGAGAAGCCACTGCCCCTCCCTTAGAAATTTACCACCACTTCACCCAGAGAAGTGCAACCTGAGGTTCATTAACAGCCAGAGACTATCTGCCAGTCAGAAGGCAGAGAAGAG